TGAACCCCAGCAGTTACCTTTACCTGGGGATACCAGATGAAAATATAGTCACGACTAATTAAGCTAGTAATTGAAACTTGCTATGCTTTTGTGGGGAAGGGAGATCCATGTTTTGCTCTTTGTTTCTGATATAGCTACTCCAGACTTTTCTATACTATGATCAAAAGTAGAGTTTTGATTTTTTATGTTTATTGAAGTCAGAGCTTTTTATAAACTTTAGTTACATTGGCCCCTAGAGGTAGGGCAGCGATGATACCGTAGGTGTCATAACCATTTGGCAAACAGTTGAGGTACACAGTCACTTGAGTTCCCTATGTTCAGCTGTACCTACTTACCTCATCTGTTTGGGTTTTGGAAGCCACGCTTTGAGGATGTACTTAGTAGCCAGAACTGCTGAGTAGGTTAGAACTTATTTGTATGCATCATGTAGAAACCCAGCATATCCAAACTGACCCCCTAAATCAGTTTCCTGAGGCTGCAGCGTGAAAAAGAAGCTTTCCATCCTGGCTGTTTGCTTAAACTTCCACTTTTACAACCTAACGCAGATGTCCGCCTCTGTGTATGAATACTCACCTAGGCAAACATGAATAGAATATGTGTCACAATAATGTTAAAATAGGCACTTTTACCCCGGCAGAAATGAATGGTTCATTACCTAGTTTTGAAAAAGCTTAGAAAAGTTACCTACCTTTAAGTAGTATTTTTCATGCTTATGCAGTTGGATAAGCACGTGTCAGGTTTCAGTCCTATATTAAAATAGTGATTTGGGAGCTCCTGAAAACTATTGAATGTAATGGAAACAGTTAATGACTTCACATTATTACTCTAGCAAGCACTGTCATAATGGGCATACTTAAAGAAGCCTTATTTATTAGTGCAAATGTATATGGGTCAGAATTAATTTTTAAAAAATCTTTAATTGTTTTCCCCTTATAATTTTCACAGCGGTATGTAGTTAAATATTCATGATAATGCTGATGATATGCTAAAGGTCTGAAATAGATCTGGAGTCTCAAAATCAACACAGGTTATTTAACCCTTTTCATCTGATGCACCATTGGGGACTTGCTCAGTGAAATCCCAGAGCACTGGAATAATTAGAAGATAGTAATGAGGATTTAATTAGTCCTTGAGATATGCTGAAATAGGACCACTGAGAACTTTTCTGTTTGGACATGGATTGCAAGCAGAATTGATGCCGTTGCAGCTGCTGTGATGTGCTGGGAAATGTATTCCATTGCTGGAGGCAGTTTCCTGGCACCATTCTGTGCCTGTCAGATCTATGTGGAAAGTGCCCGGAGTAAGCACCTCCAAAATTGTTGAACAGTAGCCTTCCACTTCTCTGTCACCTCCTCACAGTACCTTTTCTTTTTTTCTTATGTCATTCTTTCCGTTCTGGCTTTATTTCTTTCCGTTGTTGACATGATCCAGCTTTTGAGGATTGTCGTACAGTTGTGTGCTCTATTAAAAACATATCACTGACAGGGACAGGGAGTAAGAAACTGCAGGCTTGTAGGAATACAGGTGTTATGCTAAGCAAAATTTGGATCTTTTTGATACAACTACTTGTAAGCTTTATCCTCAGATCTAGTCCTTATCTAGTATTAGATCTTCACAGAAGTTATATTTATCAGTAGCTGCAATGTAGTAAATTTAAATAGCTTTTTTTGTCAGCTAAGATGTTATCCAGCAAGAGGTAGTAACAGATGGGATGTGATCAGGCATTTTGATGTTCTCTTTGTGCTTCCCTATAAACACTAAGTAGCAACTGAATTCCTGTAACTACAATTTCCTAATTTGCCCATTAGATTTCATATAGGTATTTTTCTCCCCTTTAACTGTTTTCTGGGCGTGCTTATTTGTACTCAGTCATCACATAAATTCCACTGTCAAGTGTTCTCTTCTAACA